CATTCTCTCTCACACATATACACACACCATCACATTCGCACACACACACGCACTACATCCACCCGGCCAAAACAGCAACACCAGGTCCTCTGCGCCGCCGGCTGCCGTCCACCGCCGACCGCCATAGCCGACGACCACCTTGCCGGCATAGATCTGGCCTTCTCCAGACACCATACCCGTCTTTCTTCGCCATCGCCGGAGGCCCACCCCGTCAGTATGCTCTCGCTAGAATCAGACCAGCCACCGCCGTGAGAGGTGGCGGCCAGAAAGAAGCAACGGCAGACGAGAAGTGGCCTGAGAATGGTGACGACGAAGGCTGTGTATTGAGGGAATTGGGGGAGTTTAATTTCAAAAATTAAATAACTTTTATTCTCGGCCGGTAAAAATTTGGCTTGTATGTCGGAATTTCGGCGAATACCTGGGGTGTTGGCTGACGACGAAAAATGGGATCTTTGGGGATTTGATAGCCATGAGGAAGATGAGCGGGTGTTGATTGATTTAGGTTTTTTTTTTTTTTTTTTTATGTTTTCGGAAACGCCATTAGTGGCTGCTGGGGCTTCTGATACAATTTGATGAAAAAGCCTGAAGATGAATCTTGATTGCGAGGGTTTTGCTATTTTCTGGCTTCTGATTTTGTAGATTCTCGTTGTGCTTGTGATGTTGAAATTGTCTGTTCCTCTGTCTTCCTGTGTTAAGCATATAACATTTCAGATTGAAGTTGGAGCAGGCACGGTTATCAACGTGATTATTATGAAAAAAAAAAATATGATTTATTTACATGATTTATTATTAAAAATTACATGATTTTAAAAAGTGTTAAGCAGGCCCACTTTAAAAACTAGTGTGTACCCGTGCGATGCACGGGAACAATATTAAATTAACAATATTATAAATAGACCTCGAGTTTGAGTCGGAAGTGAAAACTACTATTGATTGTATTTAAAAAGAGGAAGAAAAAAAAAATAATTATAAATAAAAGAGGAGGATAAATAATACTTAATAATTATAAATTAAAGATTCGGGGTCAAACAATGTAAAATGATTTTGTATAAGAGAATATAAAAAAAATTGATTACACACCATTTCCAAATTATTATTATACTTTTTTGTATGGTTAGCTTAGAATATTTGTAAAAATATTAGTAATTAGACCGATGAAAATTAGCTTCTTAAAGTAGATAATGGATTTCTAGTAGTAATTATGAATTAGTTTCTATTTTATTTTATTTTTTCTTTTTAAAGATAATGGATTTCTAGTAGTAATTATGAATTGATTTCCATTTTATTATTTATTTTTTCAAATCTGTATAGATAAGAGATGAGATTTTTTAAACACCTAATGCAATGAGATTTTGTAACAGAAGAGATAAGCTCGTGTAGATTTATACTAAAAATAGGAAAAAGAAAAACAAATATTTATTGTTAAAACAATAAACTAAGAAACAGGAAAAAGAGAAACAAATCTTTACATAATTAATGAGCGGATTTTTTTGCCTATTCAGATTTGTCCAACAATTACTATATATAGGATATATTTAATGATTTTGGCGGGAAAAAGTTTCTAAATTTGTAAAAAGATTATTCTTTTTATATAATGATAGATTACATAATTTATTATTAAAAAACATGATTATTATTTAATATTTTCTTATTTGATATTTATATTATTTTTTTGATTAAAAAATTAGTATATATGTAAACGAAATATAACGTGCAATCTAACAGTTATTAATGTGCAATTCGGCCAACATTATGGTGCACGGTGTTGGTTTGTAGTTTGCAGATTGAACCAACCGAACTTTTGTCCCGAATCAAATTGAAAATGAACATAATTGATTTATTTAGTTCGATTAATCGAATTATCTTAAATAATCGTAATAATTTATAAATTGTATTAAAATTATATTTAATATGTTAATAATTTTATTTATTATTTTCATATTATTTTTGGTTGAAAAGTTTTGAGTTCGGTCGGTTCGATCACTATTGTGCAATATGTTAGTCGTGAAAAAGTGCAACTTATTGTTCTGTAAAATTCAATGTACTGTTTTATAAAGTGCAACGTGATGATGTATAAAATTTAGCTACTGTAATTTTCGTACATTATCATGCTTGTGTTGTTGCTTGGATAAATGATGTGATTGATTTTAAAGTATTTTGTATATCCGTTTTTAAATTTACGTTGTGTGGCATTTTGGCGGGAGTTGTTGATGTTAGTTGTCGATTGTAGTGATAAAGTGCAACGTGTTGTTTTATAATGTGCAACGTGTTGTTTTATAAAGTGCATCGTGCTGATATATAAAATGCACTACTTTAAATGATCACATATAAATTACGTATTTTTTAAAATTATATTTTAATAGATATAATTGTACATCTAATTAACTTAAATAATTGAAATAATTTATTATAAAAGTACTTTTATTATTTTATTTTATTTTTGTGCAAATTCAACCTGAAATCGAACCGAAATATTTTAGTTATTTTGTTGGTTAATCAAATTTACCTAAATAATCAAACTTTTATTATTTATAATATATAAATATATCAAGTATGTTAATATGTCTATGCAATATTTTATATTATTTTTTTTTATGCTAATTCAACTTGAAATTGAACCGAAATAATTGAGTCATTTTGTTTGTTAATCAAATTGACCTAAATAATCAAACTAATTTATTATTTTTATTTTAAATACCCAAAATGTATATAATATATATATTTATAATAAAATAATATTTTTTTATATAGTTCGATCGGTTTAGTTATATTAAACAATAAAGTTGACATCGCACCAAGATAACTAAAATTTTAAAAGTAAACACAAATAATCGAAGAAAAACATAAAGTTCGAACCCAAAGCTTTGTGTGTCCGTTTCAACCGCTATAGTGCAATCTGATAACTAATAATGTGCAATTCGTGCAACATTAATGTGCACTCGAAGCACAACTATTTGTATAAAAATAAATTTAGTATTCTAATATTTTATACTATTTTTTGGTTGAAAAAATATGATATATACATATGTATAAAAGTATAAAAATATATATAAAAAATAATAAATTACAAAATAGAGTTAATTTCATAACAATTTGTGTGCTGATGTTATTTGCATTTGGTACAAAATTGTCTTTCAATGTCCCAAACACTTGTCCCTTTCCTTGCTAAATAAGAAAAAAAAAAAGAAATCCCATCAAATTGCCCTTTTTCTCTCAATATCCCCCAATGGAGAAACTGAATGCTGGTTAGAAATGAATTTTATCACTTTTAAATAGCAAAAATCAATAGCATTGTTATTTGCGGAAAACTTGATGTACAACTTACCTAGTGCAAAATATTGACTTGTTTTGATTTGGAGTTAATTTCATCTCTTGAGTTTAGAAAAAATCATTGGCTCTGTTATTTATCGATGTTTAATGCATTGGTAAGTATTGCCAGAGCAACTTGTGGAGCTTGCTTGATTTAAGTTCACTCAGAAATTTGTTACACAGCATCCTACAGTAGTCTATTGTGAAAAAAAATGGCTACAATGCCAGGTTAGAAAAATCCATTAATCCAACAACAATTACCATCAACCATGAATTTCTATCTAGAGACTCGGACACAAAATTCTAGATACATATAAAAATAATTTTTATTTATATTATTTTTATAAATTACAGAATTGCAATCAAATCCTTGAACAACCACGACTGAAGTGTTTGTCGCCTGATGTGTAGTCGCCCCGCCACCATCGACGATTCTACTAATGCTGAAGATGGAGACCTTCGTCGGATGAAAAGTACGCTGTAGACGAGGACGACGGCGAAGTTTGACGGCTGCCGCCAACGTTGTCTCAAAGAGTCCCTCCGGCAGTCGAGGACGTTGCCGGCGGAGTTTGACGGCTCCAGTGGTCGACGGCGAGTCTGCGAGCCTGGTTCATGTCGCCATAGAAAGCACCGTTGTTGTGGCCGCAGATACCGCGACGGGCAGACGCCAGTGACCTGCGGGAACGGAACTTTTTTTTTAATCGGTAGAGGGAACCGATTTTTAGTTGCAGAGGTGCTTGTGTGTGCGTGAGAGAGAGAGAAAGAGGGGGTGGGGGAAGAGAGAGAGTGAATTTGAGTGAGAGATTGGTGTCACGTGAAGAGGTGTGTTTGGTTAGGGTGGTCCCACTAATGATGGATTGTTGAGAAATGTCTAGGTTGCCCTTACTTAATGTAAAATTGTTGATTCTTTTTTACCGTTAGATGATTCAATCCGACGAATATGATGTATTCTTATTTCTTTCACTGAGGACTATTCTCACCTGAGCGCGACCCTATATATGTATATATATATATATAGGGAATGGTTCCAATGCATCCACTTATTTAAAGTGAGGACGTAAGACTCATTTTTAGCCACAAGATTTGGTACATATCATGTGTGGCCAAGATTTACTCTTTTCTTTTTATTATTTTAATTATTTATATATTATTTTGACCCGTTGACTCCGGCATTGACCGTTGACTTCCGGCATTGACCGTTGACAACTAACCTTCCAACTATATTAGTTCTCTGTAGTTGCTAGGTTAATTCTCTGTAGTTGCTAGGTTAGTTGTCTTTTGTTGCTAGGTTAGTTCTCTGTACTTGCTAGGTTAGTAGTTGCTAGGTTAGTTCTCTCTAGTTTCTAGGTTAGTTCTCTATAGTTGCTAGGTTATTTTTCTGATGTTTCTAGGTTAGTTCTCTGTAGTTCCTAGGTTATTTTTGTGATGTTGCTAGGTTAGTTGTCTGTAGTTGCTAGGTTAGTTGTCTGTAGTTGCTAGGTTAGTTGTCTTTTGTTGCTAGGTTATTTCTTTCTTGCTGGTAAGTTAGCTGTCCTAGGAGCTGCCCGGCTTTTGGTGAGCTGTCCTACCCGTACTGCCCGTCCGTACACACATAGTGTGCGTGTGTCAGAGATGTCAGGGGTGGCTATCGCCACTATCACTCTGCACCAATGTATTCTCGCCACGTGTCCCTCTGAGCTGAGGGAAATTATTCTTCTGCGTAGGCGGTTGGGATCTTCTAACGCCATCCACGTGCCTTCTCGCGTTCAAGCCACGCTCTCGACTACTCTCCACCTGTTGTGTGCTCGATCTGGTCGAGCCCCCCATCACTAGGTCGATCCTCGACCAGTTCTGCTATTCTGCTCGATCTCTTCCCTTTTAGTCGATCATCCTTCAACCAAGGTGGTTTTCTCTATTTCGAGCTTGCCCGACCTATGCGGTAGGCCGGTCTATTCCTTAGTCATATAATATCCCATATCAGGTACAATGTTCTTGTGGAACCGAGCATGAGCACCAAGGATGGTAACGAAACGGCCTAGAACTCCTCTCATCAAAGCTCTATAGTCAACCTCTTGGAATAAGAGAATGTCCGTGGAGCATGTCGAGCTAAATGGGTCCTTCTCGACGGTGCGGAGGGATGGCTCAAGTGAGGGACTCTCGAATTCGGGCACAGGAGTTTCCTCCATCACAATATCACCCTCAATCTCTGGGAGCGCATTCTCTCCTTCTTTAGTCTCGCCCTCGTGAATCTGGACATTGATAATGGGCTCATCGACTTGTGGCTCGACGGACTGAGCGCGTTCAATTATACCGTCAAGTTGCACCAACAATCGAGTGCACACACCCTCCATCTTCTCTAGTCGAGTTGTTTGGGCCGACATATGAGCAAGAAGGAGATCGAATTTTTCATCATCCGTCAAAACGTTCCCCCGATAATCATTATCCACGAGGGAATCGGGGGAAGAATTGTAAACCCGGTCCTCCAAAACTCGGATACATTCCGTTAGGTTCTCGATTTCGGCCTCAAGATTTTTCGTTCGGGCTGCTTGGGAGGTCAGAAATTTGAGAACCTGATCAAGCTTAGCATCGTACTCTGAGAATTCCATGGGGGACTCATATGATTGCTCGAACGGTAACGGATTCCACGGTTGCTCGTAAGGGAAGACACATGTCTGGCCATACTAGCCTTAGCGGCGCTAAGGCCTAGGCAGCGCGACTTTGCATTTCAGGCTCGTTTGGGATCGTCCGAACTCGGAATTGAGTTCCGTTTTTTCCCATGCGTCGCTAACGTACCCCTCTATTCAATGACGTTTGAATTTCCAAATTACTCTTGAAATCCTAATCTCCAAAAGCTTACGACTAGCACACCAAAGACGTGTTTCGCGCGACTTCGCGTTTTGGGCCCGTTCGGACTCGTCCAAGATCGGAATTGAGCTCCACTTTTTCCCACATGTCACCAACGAACCCTTCTACTCAACCATGGTTGCTCGTTTGATTTTCGGGCTAAATCTATTCCTCACGGGGCTTTCGACCTGCATACCAAAATCGAAGAAAAACCGGAAAAACACACGAAAAACACAAAGGAAACAAAAATAAAGGAAAACAAGCAATAAACTACAAAACGAACTAAAAATTAACGAAAAGACCTCATACGGGAGAAAAAGAAAGACAAAAACACAACAAAAAACGTAACAAAAATGGGACAAACATATATGAATAAGAAAAATAATGTAATATAAGATAAGTAAATTGTACAAGTGAGGAGTGTCAATTTAAATATATAATAATGCAACATTTGTTAAAAGTATTTGAAATTCAAAAAAAAAACTTTTTTTTATTTTTATTTTTTTATTTAACTATAAACTATTTTAACCAGCACTTGTGTAATCCACGTTATTTTCTACTAGTTATATAATTATTTTGTTGTTGCTTTTAATATTGATAATTCTCCTATTTTCAATGATGTGGTTTACTTGGTAATTAAGGTTTTCGATTGAATTGTCTCGTTTCGAGTCACATACTGTACTAACCTACAAAATAGCCTCGACATTCACACTTTGATGGTCAAATCAGAGAGAGATTAATTGAACTCAATTGCTATTCATCCTCGTACTACTACTCACCGCCTTCTTTACTATTTTGCTTTTAACTTTTTTTTCTCTCTATCTCTCTAAACTCTTTATCTTCCTAAGTTCTTCAACTTTCAACGAGCCATTCGAGCTTCAAAAAAGTTCCAAAAAAATGTCGAAAAAATCCTACGACCTCGGCAAAGCATTCTTCTCTAACAATTTTTTTTTTTTAATACGTCGTAAATAATTTTTAATTTTTTTTTAAAACTGTCGCCGCGTCAGGCCGTCGCTTCCGGACGCGGCCGGGCCGTTCAGTCCGTGATTGCGGACGGCCTAAAAGGCGTCCGGCCCCACCGGACGCACGACTTTTCAACCGGTCGCGATCGGTGGCCGGACGCCCGCTCTCATCCNTAATTATAAATTAAAATTAATTATAATAATTATTAATTATAATAATAATTTCTAATAATAATTATATTAATTATAATAATTATAATAATAATTATTATTATATAATTATTATAATAACAATAATTATAAATTATAATTAATTATAAATTATAATAATAAAATTTATAAATTAAAACTAAAATTATTTAATTACTATTTTAATACTTATTACAATAATTATTACATATGAAAAAATTAATAATTATATTTTTTATTCAGGGTGTTAGCAGACCTGGACAATCTTTTGCCAGGGACGACGACGAGGCGTTCGATGACTATTATGATGGTTCTGGCACCTGACACACTAGAAGTCGGGGTGTCAATGTGTCCGTTCGTCGGGACAGACAGACGATGATCGATCAGGCTCGGAGGGTACAGACTGGTCTAGCTAGCATGAGTTCGAGACCCCCCGCACCAGTACGAGATGGTCTGCAGGGATATCATTTTGAGGGCCAGCTAGACAGTTTGCGACTCCCCGGAGTCGTACCGTACGTTGAGCATGGATATTATTGTCCTGGCCAGGCAGGCAGTTCAACGCCCCCGGCACCAGGACCGTACGATCAGCGGGGATATTCTTTTCCCCGCCAGGCAGGTAAGTCGATACCCCGCGCATCATTACCTTATAGTCAACAGGGATATCCTAATGATTCGTACGGCGAGAGGGAGCAGGGTTCAGAGGAGTCTGACGAGGACGACTCTTCACATGATTAGGACCACCCGCACCACCCCCAGAGGGAGCTCCCAGCACAGCATTTTGCACGACCCGCACAGCCTACGGGTCCTAGCCAGCCTGTCCCTCCTGTACAGTATGTTCGTCCTGTACAGGCTGTTCGTCTTACACAGGCTGCTCCTCAACGACAGGCTGGGGGGCGTTTTGGTAGCGGTGCATCCTCATCAAGTAAATAATTTACGTATTTATTGTTGTTTAACATTAAATATTTTGACTTAATAATAACAAATTATCGGCCTGCTCCTCAAGTAAAATATAATTATTTTGTAATTTAGAGGGACCATACAATTAATTAGTTAGAAAAGTATTATAATTATTTTTATTATTGTTATAATCAATTAGTAGTAATATTATATAATATATTAGTTTAAAATTGTCATTATACTTTATTAATGTAAAATGTAACGTTTCTACAGTAATTGAAAAAAAAAGTGCGGGAAACTTATGAAGGTTTTATTAAATAGGTTTGATTTAATGTATCTGTCAGCAAGTGTATATATACAGATATGTTCTATTCTATTGTAGGTACTAGCAAACAAGCTA